TTTTTTGAAACATTACTAAAAATGAGAACATAAATAGATTAAAATATAACTTCAATAATTGCTTGAAATTAACATATTTTATTGCGTAATATTGAAAATTTAACAGTACTTTTATTAAGAAAAAAATCTTGACTTTATTGTGTAATCATAACATTTGTAAAAAATTTTGTAATTTTTTATAAAAAAAACTTATTGAAATTATTTTGTTTTTAATTATTACTAGAAATGTGAAAGATTTTCCGAATATTATTAAAATTACTTGACATTTTTTTTTGAAAATTTCCGATTTATTTTTGAATCTTTGACAGCTTATAACAAATGAATGGAGAAAAGCACTCGCAGATGACTCGTTTGAAAGGTCAACATTTTGTCTTTAGTTTTATTACTTATTATTTTAATTAATGTGCGTGTTTGTTAAGTAATTAAATAAAATGTAACGGCACTCCTTAAAAATAAAAACTTAATTATTAAACAAAACTTTTCAATATTTTTTTTTAGGAAAAGTCGTAGTTTTATGTTCAATTTGTATGAATCTTGATTTTGTTGTGTAATCATAACATTTGTAAAAAGTTTTGTAATTTTTGAATTATTATAAAAAAAAACTTATTAAAATTATTTTGTTTTTAATTATTACTAGAAATGTGAACATAAATTGGAAATATTTTCCAAATATTATTAAAATTACTTGAGTTTTTTTTTTGAAAATTTCCGATTTATTTTTTAATCTTTGACAGCTTATAACAAATGAATAGAGAAAAGCACAAAACTCGCAGTTGACTCGTTTGAAAGGTCAATATTTTGTCTTTAGTTTTATTACTTATTATTCTAATTACTGTACGTGGTTGTTAAGTAATTAAATAAAATGTAAGGACATTCCTTCAAAATTAAAACTTTATTATTGTTTAGTGAAATGCACAAAACTTTTCAATAAATTTCTTTGGAAAAGTCGTAGTTTTATTTTCAATTTGTATGAATCTTGATTTTGTTGTGTAATCATAACATTTGTCAAAAGCTTTGTAATTTTTGAGGTTTTACAAAAAAAAACTTATTGAAGTTACTTTTTTTAAACATTACTAACATATGTGAACATCATAACATAACATTTGTAAAAAGTTTTGTAATTTTTGAGTCATTATAAAAAAAACTTATTAAAATTATTTTGTTTTTAATTATTACTAGAAATGTGAACATAAATTGGAAATATTTTCCAAATAATATTAAAATTACTTGAGTTTTTTTTTTGAAAATTTCCGATTTATTTTTGAATCTTTGACAGCTTATAACAAATGAATGGAAAAAAGTACAAAACTCGTAGTTGACTCATATGAAAGGGCAACATTTTGTCTTTAGTTTGATTGCTTACTATTATAATTATTGTGCGTGGTTGTAAAGTAATTAAATAAAATGTAACTACACTCCTTCAAAATGAAAACTTAATTATTGTTTAGTGAAATGCACAAAACTTTTCAATAAATTTCTTTGGAAAAGTCGTAGTTTTATTTTCAATTTGTATGGATGTACAAGAATGTATTTCGTTTTTAGATGTACACAAAAAAATTATTAAAATCTTATTTTCTAATTTTTTTTTAATGGTAGATTGAAAATTCTCAGAAACGAAAGTTTCTTTCGGTATTCAATGATTAAATTGTAATTGATATTAAATGATCAAATGAAAAATATGATTAAACAATTTTAGAAACAATTTCATCCAAAAACAATTTTTTATTTAAATTTAGTATAAAAACCAGGAAAATCTTAGTTTTTTTATTTTTATTTCACATTCTCTAATTCATATTCATTGCTTATTTAACGATAAAAAAAACTTTGAATTTAATTGTAGTCTTAAGAAATGAATTTTATGCAAAAAAACTTTAATTTAAATTATTAAATACAAACATTAATTAAATATTAAAATAATGATTAATATAAAAATTACATTAATCGACAACTTAATGATACAAAATAATAAAATATTATGAATCTATTAAGATTTTGAGTTGATGCGTTGATGAATATGAGACGTAACCAGGTCAGAGTAACTCTCAACATCGCACTTTACCACATCAAGGTGAGAAACCCAAGTAAAGGGAAATTGAACGTATTAATAATGCTCGTCCTTCAGTCAGGAAACATCGTCGGGTCGGAAACACGATTATTACGAGTTTCCTAGAAAGGAAATTCAATTTTCCAACTTGATTATATACAGACTAAATTCAACAATAATACGAAGAAGAAATGTATTCGGCTTTATTGTATCCATTACAAAAGCAATCTAAAAGTAATATATAAAATTTATATATTGAATCAATTTTACTCTAATTAATATTAATAAAGGTTTCCAAATAATTCAATATCATTTCATTTTCACAATTGAATCCCACCAATTCTTAGACACAAATTTGATATATTTTTTTATAATGATTATCTTAGTATTCAATAATTACAAAAAGTGTTATTATAATAAAATGCGTTCTTTAGGAACTAAATTTGTTATAATTTTATTAATAAATTACATAAATTTACTCTATTATTCGTCATTTTTTACTTAAATTTCAGTATTCTATAAAAGACACGTGCTGTACGTTTTTGGACAAAACCATCATTAAGCTTTCATTTCTTTAGGGAACGCAATAATTTGGACACGTGCGCTCGTTTATTCCCCTTTCCGGTTCATTAAAAGTTCGACTTTCGAAAAATTAAAAATAAGTTCTTTAGGATGGATTTATCACTACTTTTAGACTAAATTTGTTATAATTTTATTAATAAATTACATAAATTTACTCTATTTTTCGTCATTTTTACTTAAATTTCAGTACTAAAAGTATTACATGTATATAAAAGACACGTGCAAAATCTGTACGTTTTTGAACAAAACCATCATTAAGCTTTGATTTCTTCAGGGAACGCAATAATTTGGACACGTGCGTATACCAAATCTCGCTCGTTTATTCCCCTTTCCGGTTCATTAAAAGTTCGCCTTTCGAAAAATTCCCACAAATTACTGCTGTTTTTTATATCTTTATAAATATATACACGCTTCTCTTCAGCTGCCTCTCACATATACCTTCTACATTACATAACACTTCTTTTGCACGTGCCAAATTTTCGGGAAAAACCTGTAATCAACACTTTTTTTACAGTAATTGTAATTACATAAATTAATAAAATTGTGCAATATAAAAACTAATTAATTATTAAAAACAAACGGTAATTAAATTGTGTTTTGTTTGATCGAAGGAAGCGGTATTCACTTAGCAACTATTAATAAAAATACGTGACTGATATCGTTCGGAACCCGAGATAAAAACGCACAGAAAAACCGCGAATTTTTGATTATTAACAATTACGAACGGAAACGGAAATGAACATTGCCGACACTTCCGATTAGATTACTGCAACGCAAGTAGTTATTAAAATAATCTTTTAAATGCTTGATTATCATTCATTAACAATTCATTTAATAAAGAAAATATTAAGAAAATTAATTAAAATATTCAAGATGTTTTTCTATATAATTTTATATAAGTGATTTATTTTTTTTCTGTTACTTTTTCGTAATTTCTACTGTATAAATTTATCTTATTTTTTTTTTTCAGAAAACATTTGTAGTAATATTTTATAATAAAGAGAAGACAAAGCTGAGATCCATCAATTTCAATGCTTCAAATATTCCAAATCCATCGTTTTATGCTTGAAATCAATTCACGTGCATCTCCGCACAAAATATGTTTTTAAGTAATTGATTTCAAAATCACATATCCACTTTACGAAACAATGGAATAGAAACAATACGCATTCGGTGAAAGCAGAAAATTTCCATTTTCCAAATTTAAATGTTCAATTTTTCAATCTTATCAGCAGAAAAAAAACTATTAAACTTTACACTAAAAAAAACATATTTACGTATTATTTTCATTTCAGAGATTTCGTTTATATAATTTTATTTGATTTTCTCAACTCCTTACTTTTTTTATCATTTATCTTTATATTTCTGTCATTTCTTTTTTTTATTTCAGTTTTTGCTTTTACGAATCATTAATATTTAATGAATTTATGAAAGGACGGAATGCTCTAAAAGGTTCCGTGAATCAAATTCGCTGATCATCAATGTTCGTTAATTCGATCATAAAGTGCATTTTAAAAGTGCGAACTCGTCGGATTAAGTTATCTCGCAGTTTTATGACTGAGAATTTGCTTTATAGAAGGAAAGAAATCAGTTTTTTTCTTCTACAAAATGTTAAAGACAGTTAAATAATAGTTAAAGTTAATGAAAGGAGTATAATTTCTATAATTACTATGTAAAATTAACAGAAGTAAACTTTTATTGTAGATATTTTTGTTATAATTTGTCCTATTTTGTTTAAATTTGAAACAAAACTTCTAAATTTTTATAAGTTTATAAGTTTCTGTAGGTAAAATCTGGACAAATTTAAATAATTTAAAAAAAAGAAAATATTGTTGTGGACAAATTTTCCAAAGTTTCGTTAACATTATTATGGAGAATTTTTCAATAAAATTAAATTTTCAGATATTTTTCTTATTTATTTTTTGATAAAAAAAATATTCAGAAAATCAAACTTAAATTTCTATTAATAACTCAAATACAAGAAAACATGATTTGTTTGAGAAAATGTGCAGATTGAACGACGTGTATATAAAATAGATTTTCCAGTTGTTTGAATTTTATCTTTCCAGCTGTATGCTTAAATATAATAAGAAGTACACGTAAAAACCTGCTGGTTCATTGTAGCAAGAAGAATTCGCATTCGGTTTCTTTCTTTCGTTTTACATTTTTAATACAAATAAAAAGAAATAAACGTGAAGAGTTCTTTGCGAAATAAAGGAATTCACAAAATATTTACAGTTACAGTATAATAATTGTATTTATTTACACAATATTTATTAAAATATAATAAATTATTTAAGAATGTTAAGATTTTTAACAATTTAAACCTAAATTTTATAAATCTTGAATATTTATACAAAATAAAAAAACTTGAATTGAAATTCGCAAGTTTTTGTGTCATTCTATAGAATCGCACAAGAACTAATCCTCTTTTTCCCCGATACGATTCACAAGCTGCATTCCACCTCCTTCGTCCATCGCGAAGAAATCCTTAAGATCCGAAGCATTATTAAGAACTCGAGATAAATGATCGTAATTTCAATTTAAACCTAAATTGTGTAAATCTTAAATATTTATACAAAATAAAGAAACTTTTTTTGTTGTAAGGGAATTGAAATTCGCGACTTTTTGTGTCATTCGTGCATTCCAGTTTGCGTAAGTTAAACAGAAGAAAGAGGAAGTGAACACTGAATAAATAGACAAGAAAAAAAGTATACGGAAGGAAGGATGAAAACTTCCGCAACTCTTGTGCTTCTTACGCTCAGCCACTTTGTGAGTAACTTTTTTTTTGCTCACTTTTATTTACATTTCACAGTTTTTTTTTCTTCATTCTGAAACAAAGTTTTAATTACTTTTCAGCAACAATCGCTTATTAATTAATCCGCTCATTGATGAATGGATTATTACCTCTTAATTATTTAATGCCTAATCAGTAATCAATTTATTGGATAATTTTAATTATCAGAAAATTATATTTTTTGAAAGTGATTAATTAAAGTAATTATAATTTCTGTAAATAATCAGTGTTTTCTAGTATTTGTAGTGGATTTTTTTATTAAACTAACATTTTACATCTCGTAAATCACGTTAATAAATTCTACGTAGTTTTAACTTTGTCGGCGCTTTACTCGGAATACATAAAAGGTCCATAATAAATTGCGTGCATTCATTGGAATCCCACGAGATTCTCTTTGAAGTTCCTTTTCACATTCATCAAAACTTCACCATGATAATTCCAATAAAAAAAAATATACTTTTCACTGTTTCATAACAAAAATTCATTCAAAATCACATTAATTTTTGCTTTGTTTAGATTAATTCATCACCGTTAACATCCAACAAAGCACCAAAATCATGGGTTAAAGATTTGAAACCGAAATTTAAAACTCCTGAAAACGTGAAGCATTTTTTACCAGTCAAATCGGGAGTGGCAGATTTTCAGAAAATAAGCGCCGGATCACCGATTTTTTTCAAAAAACCCGTACTTAAAAATAAGGAACCAATAATGTTACTTGAGGATAACCGTATTTTCTTTCCGGATGAAATTTCTGATGAAGCCAAGAATGATACAGGTAAGGTTATTTAATTTAAGTAATTAGTAGAGATTAATTGAATTCTTTAGATAATGGGATGAAATTCAATGTGAATATTGAAGTAATTAATAGCAAATCTCCGAAATTGCAAGAAATCAACTTAGGTTCGCCTTGTGAGAATGGAAGAACTTACTGCGAAAACGTCGCTTCTTATCCTTACGAAACAATCAAAAAGTTGTTTGAAGACGGTGACGTCAATTTGGAGTATTTCAGTATAGAAGATGATAACGAATTATTGACAGATTTAGAGCCAAAGTGCGCTCAAGGTAAAACTTACTGCGATTACGACGACACTTATCCTTATGATGTAATTTACGATATGATGAAGAACGATTTCGGTCATAAAGATTTCTTCGTAACGGACGAAAAGTATTCAGGATTCTGGGACGGTATAAGTGGCAATGAGGATGAGAAGTACATGTGCGAAACTCGTTCGAAAATAATACATCCGATGAGGGCGAAAACTGTTAATGGCAAATGGAAGTATATAGTAAATTTAGACGATGGAAAACACGTGCAAGCTGTTAAGGTGGAGATCTGCAAGAGGCCAAATCTTCCTTGCAAGATGACTCGAAGCTTCCCGATGGATCATTTAACGAATTGCAGACAAAGGACAACTTTCAGAAGACTTCTGGCTCTTTCAGATTTTGCAAAAGTTGAACCTGATACTTTTTTGATACCTTCGGAATGCTCCTGCGCTTACAAGAAGTACACAGATTCAGCGAAATTTTAACCCAGTCTTCTTGGGTTTTGACTATACGAATATAAGATTCATGCAAATAATGTAAAGTTTGCATAGTATAATAAAATTATTGAATGAAATTTTTATTAAATATATTAAAAGTGTAGATAAATTATTATTTTTTTAGTTTGATCACAGGGTTTATCCAATTCTTCTGTAGGAACAGCAACAGGCTGAGGGCATCTCGAAAGTATCCGGAATGGGACGACCACCGTCGGTGATGGAAAGCATCCTCCTCAAGACGTATTTCTGCTTGCAAATTGCTGCGTAACCGAAGGGTAAATTTCCTATCAAATTGCAAGGCCGATGAGCGCTAAAATTTAACAACTTTAAAATAAGTTTTGAGCATCATCAAAGTCTTACTTCTTGCACATCTCGATCCTAACACCTTGCACGTAACCATCCTTTTTCCCTTGATTGATAACGTACTTCCACTTGTTGTTCTTCGTCTTGGCCACCTTGGGATAAATCGTCCTTTCTATAGAATCGCACAAGAACTTATCCTCTTTTTCCCCAATACGATTCACAAGCTGCATTCCACCTCCTTCGTCCATCGCGAAGAAATCCTTAAGATCCGAAGCATTGTTAAGAACTCGAGATAAATGATCGTAAGGATACGTTTCTATGTCTTCGCAAAACGTCTTTCCTCTAGCGCAGCTCGGGTCATAATCCACCGAAGCGATTTTCTCGTAATCAGGTTCAAGTTCATCCGGAAAGGTAATAGCCTGAGACTCCTCTTCGAAGATCTTCATTGGATCTAAATTACAGAAATAAATATCTTGTTTATTTTTTCATTTAAATAATTACCCATTAGAGGTGCCAGTATCCTCACTTCATATTTCTCGGAAACGTTTCCAGGTTTAGCTTCAACCTTAAACATGCATCTTGTTTGTTTATTGATTTAATCTTGATTTACTTTTAACACTTACCGCTGCGGCCAGAACGATGAAGAGCTTGAGGACCGGCAAATTTTCCATCGCTCAAACAGGTTTTTTGATGTGATTATCCTCTTTATACGTCTTCTGCGCGTTCTTGTGTGCTGCTGACCGTTCGACGGCCGCGCCGTGAATGGGTGGATCTCTCTGGTCCAAGCTTGACCTTAGAAAACATATGCAAATATGTCACTAAACGCGGCCGGATGCCCCGTTATTCGTCGCCAAGTGCATGCGTTACGACATTTTTGTTTTTGTTAGCACTTTAGCGCCTCTCGCTTTATTTATTTACGAAAAGAAAAACCGAAGACTTCCATCATCTTCTTGTTAGATAAGTGAAAGTACCTTTTCTATTTAATCTCTGTTGCGAAATACCCGTGTTTTTTTGACACACATTGAAGATAATTGCTTCACAAATAGGTTTTAAATATACCCAAAATTAAATGAGTTATTGCCCAACCAAATCCATTTACTCCTATCTACAATGTAAATTCATTAATAACAAAAATAGTTAAGTTTCAAGAGAAAACCTTGTTGGAAAGGTCGCGATTGTTTAAAGTGAGCATAAATAAAAATATAATTACTGCATTTATGATCACGTTTGCAATAAATTTAAAAGGAAACGCAATTCCTTTCATATGCGAACAATGAGTAAACACGATTCGATAGAAAGTTTCATAAAGATCAAAAGGCGGAAGGAAAGAGACTTAATCCGAAGAATTTAACACATGACTTTGTTTCATTGTAATTTGCACACATCACAATTTTCAAAGAAACCACAATTCGCAGAACATTTGCGCATTTTCACACTCACAAAAATAATGAATGGAATTCAAACGTTACACAAACAATTGACCGAAAGAAAAAAAAATTGAAATTCTAATGATAATAATTTCGTTGAAAGTAAATAAATAGAAAGGCTCTATTAATAAACAATGGTTTTCCTGAAGCCACCACCACAAAACACCGGTTTTCGCAAATATTTGGCGAGGATAGATCCAATAGTTTTAAAACTTTCATGCATATATATCTTTAGGTCGACCTCGTAAATTCCGATGCCTTTAAATATGTTACCAGGAGCTGTTTGTTCCGTGTTCCAAAGACTGCTGAAAAATTGAGTGCATCGAGTAAAGTGCTGCTGAATAAGCTTGTTTATTTTTACTTGGTAATGTCTTTTTTTTATCTGTTTTGTTTCGTTCCGCGTTTTGGTAATGCGAATTATTCAAATCCATAGGAGCGATTTGCGAAATGCGGTTTGGTGATAAAAACGCAAAGAGAGGAGATTCTCCCACGAGGCCACTTAACTGGATAAATGTTTTTACTTCTCTCTTTATGCGAGATTTATAGCTTTTTTCTGTTTTCGCTTTTGCTTCATTCGAATAACAAATAGTAGGAGGATTTTCGCACTCGTTGGGATACGTCAACGACGGAGTTTGTTTATCTGATGCTCTTCCGAATTAAGTTTGTTATTTTATTTAAGTTTTTTTTTTCTTTAATACTCATCAGAGATAATAGCTGATGGTTTTGTTGAATGGTGATCGGTGGTTTCATGCATAATGTTAGTCGGTATTTCCAAAATTTAACAATCGAAGCGTTCGAGAGGAAATCCATTGTCAGGAAGTCATGTGCAAAGCTTGGACATTGCGCATGCTGTGACCCAATTTTAATATGAATTTAGATAATAATTTGATAAAAAAAATTATACATAAAACTAATTAATAATAATATTTTAACAAACTGTTAAAATTCTCAGAAATAGATGAAGAAGTTTCATAAAAGAAAGCAAATTAATTAAGTTTTAGTAAAGTAACTTATGGATAATTAATTAATATTTTAATCATTGCATTTTTCCTAAATTTACTGAAACCTTATCTTTAATTTAACTAATTTAAATTAATATATGTTTATTAATTATTTATCAATACTCTCATTAAAAATGTTGTGTAATTCAACTATATTTTCAGTGATAATTTGTAACTTTTTTAATGTATAATTATATTTGTTTTAAATGAAATTATGATTTTACTAGTATAAATTTATTTTTTATTGATTATTATCAAATTGTTGTCGTGTCCAAGGAATGGAATTGTGGACACAGTGGAATATTGTCTGGTGTTGTCGTTGTGGAGTCTCAGTTGTTGGGAATTTAATGAAATTCGTTTGGTTTTACATAACTTTATTAATTACTTGGTCAATTTAAGATTCATCTGAGACTATGCTCATAATATTAAGGTTTTACTGAGACTGCTTGTCCTCAAAGGTTCTACTGAAACTATGTTCATCTTATCAAGGTTTTACTGATAATGTGCTCATCATATTAACTTTTTACTGAGACTGTGCTTGTCCTCAAAGGTTCTACTGAAACTATGTTTATCTTATCAAGGTTTTACTGAAACTGTGCTCATCATATTAACGTTTTACTGAGACTGTGCTAGTCCTCAAAGGATCTACTGAAACTATGTTCATCTTATTAAGGTTTTACTGAGACTGTGCTTGTTCTCAAAGGTTCTACTAAAACTATGTTCATCTTATCAAGGTTTTACTGAGACTGTGCTCATTATATTAACATTTTACTGAGACCGTGCTTGTCCTCAAAGGTTCTACTGAGACTTTGTTCATCTTATAAAGGTTTTACTGAGACTATGTTCATCTTATAAAGGTTTTACTGAGACTGTGCTGATCATATTAACGTTTTACTGACACTGTGCTT